TTTTTCGGGACATTCTTATACTTCGAGATGTTTTGGGTCTAAGATCATCGACTTTGTAAATAGTTGGAATAGAATCGGAATTTAAATATAATTTTATTTTTTCATTTGGCAGTAGTTGTTTTTTTAGTTTACTCGATTCTGTAAAATCTTGTTCTTGAAAATGTTTTGAACATATTCTAGATCCACTATCCGGAACAAAATCTTTACGTTTACAAAACACTAACCATTGTTTAAATCTAAGTGGTAATTTATTTCTTTTTGGAAAACTATAAAAATTTATATTTTCAGATTGACTGCAAGTTGCCCTTTTCTTATCGTTATTTGAATTGCATCCAAATACAGAACAAAGAACCATTTTACCCCTAAAATAAATTACACCATTTTGTTTTAATTTTAAATTTTAATGTACGAGTGCCTAATACTTATATGTACCTTATATGTACCTACCAAATTTATTAACCAAACATAAAATATATTTTAATATTAATTGATATGGTTATAGGACATAAATAAAATATTATAAAATAGGCTTACATTAAAATAGATATATATATATATTTTTATTTTTAAAAATTTAATTATAAGAAGTGTTCTCATTAATATTACAAATATTGAAATATATATATTTTATATATTGATAATAATTTCTTATATAATATGTATGATAATTTATTATAACTAATATATTTAGTTTACAGTGTAGATGATTTATAACCAACATAACAACCGTCTTGTTCCGGATATTTCTTTCGTATTTTATTTACAACACAGGATGGAATAACAATACGATTACCTATATAAAACCAAAAATGTAGACATTTGTATTTATACGTTTCATATTGCATTATATTATCAATGGACTTATAGTCTCCTACCTTTTCCTATAGAATTCCACGAGTTTATCCAATAAGTAAATTGTTTATAACAAATATACCTCCACATCTTATTAGTTGGTTGTGATGAACATAACGATTTTTTTTGCTTTTATTTTTTGATTTAACAATAATTTGTTGACGTGTAATATTAAGAACCTAATAAATGTAATAAAAATATCGTAATTTAAATTAAAAAAACTGAATTGATTGTGTTTCTATTATGTAGGTAGGTATCTAATCTATGACTTACTTCTTCGTCTAAAATAATTTTCGAAAAAGAGCTTATCTCCGTTATACAGGGTTTTTTGTTACTGTGTGGTAATAACTTATGTAATTTTTCCAACTCAAAACAACAAATACATTCTTGGTCAGTAGTAAATCTAATACATTTATTACATATACACCAATCGTTTACATTCATTTTTGAACGACCTTCTAATTGTACTCCTATATCTGGTTCATTTGTACCTGGCTGAATATCAGCCATATCAATATCGTTCACAGTGGGCTCAAAACTATATGGACGTATTGATATATTTAAATATTTGTAATACACTGTCAAAAACCAATAAAAATTGTTTTAATACATATTTTGCCTATGCTAGAACACTTCTTATTATAAAATGTAACATAATATAGGTACTAAACTATTTCAACTTTTTATAAAATATTTAAGCATGTAATTAACAAATTATTATTATTAATAAATAAAATAAATTTGACTATAGCATTATAATATTATAATTTATAATACATTACTTTACCTTGTAATATAAGATCCCAACGATAAAAAATATAAAAATTGAAAACTACGTTCGTTTATAAAGTCGTGTAAACGTAAAATGCGGTTGATCGTCGTTCATCGACATAGAATACGTTTTATTTTTAATAAAAATATAATTATCCAAATAGAGTATTTTTATTCGTCCGTTCATTTTTGTGACTACGAAGTTATTTAAAGCAGAATTTGTATAAATAATAACCTAGGCCGCGTCGGCGATTTCTGTATAAAAGTATAGGCCACCGCCGCGACGTGTGATCTTATGACGTCACGCGCCTATCTCTCTTGAACTCTAGCGACTCAACGAATCGACGTATACAAATTTTAGTACCACCGTTAGTTATAGTAATTAACTATCTATTGAATAAGTAAAAATCATTTTTTTGTTTCATGGTCCTTTAAATTTGTAAAATACACCGGAAGTTCCCCGTATAGGCAACCTAACGTGCCGTTGTCTGACGGATATAGAATAGGCAACTTAATGTGCACGACGACGAGGATGAGAGACAGTGACTTAAACGTAACACGGTGACGCGGACCCGTGCGGCAGCCGTTATCGAAACGGCAGTCGCCGACCGTGCCTTATCTTTCTCATCAACCGCCACTCCGCGGCACGCAACGCCGCAGCGACCCCCGTCCACCCATCCATCACCGGACAGG